CGATTTCTGATGTTATTTTTCTGCGAAAACTTTGCTGAACTTTGGAGACATCATTAATATAAATAATTTTTATCGCCGTTGAATAAGAAATGTTTCTTTCACAAGAAATGTATAAAATTACAGTGCTGTATTAGACTTACGGTACCTAATTTACATACTGTACAGACGATAGCTCGCCTAAACTGTCCGTAGCGTGACGCTAGACGGCGGAAAGTATATATATAATTAAAATAAAATTACAATAAATTAAGTTAATATATAATTATATTTACAGTACCTAATTTATATATAATTTATATATAATACTGTACAGACGATAGTAATCTCTCCGTAGTGTGGCACTACGGACGGCGGGAAAGTAGTTTGGCTGCCCGATGACGTTTTACGTAATTATAGGAGTTTTTACGGATACCATCGCAATTTTTTCGCAGTTTTATAGGAATCGTAATTATAGGGACTGTAATTATAGGGGGGTCGACTGTAGTTCCTGCCGTCTTCATAAGCAACGTAGCTGCAACCAATGTTATCATTCATTTTAGATCCATCATCGGCTCGATCTTGGCCAGGTGTGGGGGGATGTCTTTCGCCTGGAGTAGGTCCCAGGGCACGGAATGTTGCTGTAGCAGTAGGGTCTTGCGATGGCACTTGAGTAGATGAATCCATCGTTAGTTTGAATGTCAAGGCCCCACCTGGCATGGTGCAGCTTGACATTATTGGTGATGGCAAGAAAACCTCCCATTGATTTGACCAAGATTTGCAGGCTGTGATTGGAGGCTGTACAATATACTTTGGTAAGAAGTAACAACCCCTTCCTTTGTGAAGAGATAAGTTTTGTTTTTGCATGCACTTTGCGTGCAGCCCACCCCCAACTGCCACAAGCATATGTTATCATTGGGACATAAATGTGGTCATAGATGGCAACTCATGAGTTTGCTGGAGAGCCCCCAGTTATTTCTTGCAACCTGCCATAAGGCTTGCATAATCTAAATACAGTAGATCCCCCTATAAGACTGTAGATACGTTCCGTTCTTTATGAATCAATTTTGTAGGAATCATAGTTTACGGACTACGGCTGTTTGAAAGGTTTTCTTTCATAAAATTAATCGATTCTAGACTAATTCGACTCAACATTTCCAAAATACGTATATTTTTTTGAAAATAATCCGTATAAACTACGTTATAAACAAAAAATTGTAGGATTGCTTACCGAGTGTGTACCGTTCGACTACGCCCGTT